TCATAAACATAAAACATAAATACAAGCACAGCAAACAAGGTGTTCAGTGACTCCTCAGGTTCACCTTCAGAGAAATGACAGGCACTTTATGTTTAAGTAGGGACACAATTAGATAATCATGGCCAAGGTGTGGTTCCACCCAAGAACATTGTCTGGGATCCGGAAGCTCCAGGATCTGGAAAGGCAGGTAGTAAAGACAGTTCACAATCTCCTCCCCTAGGTTCTGAGTCTTCTGGCTGATAATACTTTTCTGTTTTCTAGCATGAGGTTGACATGGAAATTTGACTTACTTTGAGATCATTGTTTCAACAGCCTGATAGCTAAAGGAAGAAACACAGTATTCATTCCTGTACAATTGCACTCTTTCAGAAAAAAAAATTAGAAAGAAAAACAAACAAAAAGTAAAGTTTCTTTGTAAAATCAAAATCATCCTTACTTTTTTTCCAAATCTGAGAGAAGTTAGTGAACAGACCAGCATAATTATCATACATTTCAAAAAGTTTTAAAGTAATAAATACCACAGCTAAGATTGCTTGCTTGCCGCGTTTTGTCATGTTGGCCACGCTAAATTCTATTTCTTTTGATTTCTCTTTTGTAAAATGGAACCAATAACAGGAGGTCATATATGCCACTGACTATGATGCTACAGTTACATCATTTAATTCACAAATTGACTTAACAGAATGTCAGACAGATCAAAGTTATTGTTATTCAAACATTCACAAAATACAGATTAAGCATCCTCTATATGAAGATTTTTACTAATGGGTTATACAACAGAAAATAGATAAGTCATTGAACTTCAAGAGTTGACATTTTAGTTAGAAAAAGTAATTGAAGATAATATATATATGCTAATATATGTAGATAATATGTATAGGAGATAATTTAATAGATGATCAAACTAGATAAGCATGGTAGTTTCTTGAGTCGGGGATGATAAAAGACAGTCTCCTGGTGGAATAATATTTAAATAGAAGTCTAATGAAGAAAACTCAAAAGAACCAGAGATGCTCAATCTTGAAAAAGTTTTGTAAGCTAAGCCAAACTGGAAGTTTCTATACAGGAAAGAAACTTTATTTCTGGCTTTAAATAATAATTAAAAGAAAGATAAACACTGGATCTGGGAAAGCAATAGTAGGTCCTCTTAAGGGATTTCAATGAGTTTAGTTACAGAAAAAGAAATAAAAGATAACAATAGCTGAAGCAAGTTGTCTTACTTAGGGTTTCTATTGCTGTTAAGAAACTCTGTGACCATGACAACTCTTATCAAGGAAAACATTTAATTGGGTGCCTTACAATTTCAGAGCTTTAAGTCCATTATCATCATGGTGGGACACAGCGGCATGCAGACAGACATGGTGCTGGAGAAGGAGCTACATCTTGATCAGCAGGCATTTTAGTTAGTTGTGTAAACAAATGTCTAAAGAACCAAGAAAGTATTGTTAGGATTCACTCACATTTTATTTTTTCTCAAATGATATCTTTTCTCATTAACTGTTCAAAGGAAAAGAGGTTCTGCCCCCTTGAGTGGCACTCACCTCAGTAAGCAGTCTCACCATCTCTTCTCTCTCATAGGTGATAGGTGATTTCATGAGTCAGTTTGACTGCACTGTAGGGATAGCTCTATTTGAGTGAGGTTCTGCTGTGTCTGGGTTTCTGCACAGTGTTCGCATTTAAATCAGTGAACTGAGTGAAGCAGATTGTTCTTTCCAATGTAGGTGCCCATTAATCAGTCTGTAGGAGGCTTGAATGAAACTAAAACATGACCTCCTCTGAGCTAGAGGTTTCTAATGGAGATTGCCTTCGGAGTTAAATGGAACTGCAGTTTTCCTGGCTCTCTGGCTGCCACACAATGATAGCTAGGGACTTGACAATCTCTCTAGTGAGTGAGGTCATTGTTAGATCATATTTGACATACATATTCTGACTTGTCACACCTATTTTGTTCCCTCTTTTGGCAAACTAACACACATATTAATTCATCAACAAGTGTGTTTTATTCTGGTTCCAAAATATATCCAACATTCATCTATTTTGTTCTTTTTCCAGGGCAGAACAAAAAGTCACAAATCTCTTTCCATGACTATAATAATGTCTGGTACAGCTTAGAGATAGGAAGCTTGACAAAGGTATAGGTGTTAAAAACTTTGTCCTCTCCATTTCCTCCTACGGAGTTGCCTCTCCCAGCCTTCAGATGATGGACTGTGCCTGGTCTTATTGCAACTTGTTATGTGTGTTTGGTGGATATTCCTTGGAGGCCTGATCTTTTCTGAAAGGAAATTGAGGAGGAGTGGATCTGGCCAATAGGGGAGATTGGATGTGGGAAAATGGGAGGAGTGTGCCCCTGTCTTGTGTAACATGAAGGGCTGGCTTGTTGGGGTTTCTGTCCCACCCGGTACCCGACAGCCCGCAAGCCCCAAAGGAAATTACACACAGGACTCCATAAGATTATAAACTGATTGGCCCATTAGGTCAGGCTTCTTATTAGTCCTTGTAGCTTATATTAATCCATTATCATTATCTATGTTAGCCACACAGCTCAGTACCTTTCTCAGTGTGACAGCTCACATGTTGCCTCTTCGGTGGTCTGGGCAGGAATGACAGAGGGAGCTTCCTGCTTCCCAGAATATTCCTGTTCTCATCGCCCCGCCTCTATTTCCTGTCTGGATGGGGGCACTGATAATCTTATGGGGAACTAAAGAAAATTTAGAGTTATAATCAAGTCCTGATTGGAGTATCCTGTGAGTCTTGATCATCTCAGGCAGCAGTCTTGAACCTGTTCTGGATGAAGAACTCTGTCATCTGGGCCATCTGTTCCTATCAGAGGTTTCTCAGGTGGTCTTTCTTTATCGAACCTGATTTTTCTTAACTCAGAATGAATCCACAGCCTCTCATTTTCTGTGGAAACAAAAGCAAAATCTCTTCTCCAAAGTAACATACCTTTTGACTTCAGTTTTGAAGCCAAGGTATTTTCAAAATACCTATCTTGGGTTAGTTCAGCAGCATTTATAAACAAAAGTCTTTTTGCAACTGTTACTCCTTCCTCAGCACTCAAACAATTCAAAGAGAGCATAATAACATACAGTATCAAGATTCTTTGTGTATTTTCCATCTTTATGTGGCTTTATTTTTAACCTCTATTTCCTATATTTTTACTTTTACTTTTAGAGACAGGTTCTCTGTATATCTTTGTCCTGGAATAACTCTGTAGACCAGGCTGTCCTTGAACTCACAGAGATCCTTCTGTCTCAGCCTCCCCAGTGCTGGAATTAAAGGTGTTCGCTACCACACCTTGAACTCACAGAGATCTGTCTGTCTCTGCCTCCCAGACATTGGGATTAAAGGTGTGTGCTACCACACCTTGAAGTCACAGAGGTCAATCTACCTCTGCCTCTTGAAGTCACAGAGGTCAATCTACCTTTGCCTCCCAGGCATTGGGATTAAAGGTGTGTACCACCACACCCAACTACTTTCTTTGTTCCTTTTTTCTTTAAGAACTTTAACTTTTAGTCTGCATAAATTTTTAAAACACTGTTAAATATTTAGAGGTTTTATTTGTCTCTGAATCTCTCTTTACTGTATAGCTCTTTTTTTCTGACCACATGAGTCTTTAAGGGTAGGACTAAAGCCGTGGATTTGACAGTTAGATTCAGTCCATTCTTTACCTTTCCAGCCTCATGGCAGAAGTACTGCTGGAACCATTTTTATTACCACAACTCTGTGGCAGTTCAAGGTCCCTGCCAGCAAGCAAGCTGCAGCATTCTGCTCACAGACCACACTCAGTCTGACTGCCTGCCTGAAAGAGTCAGAGTTTGCCCTGGCAGGATGGCCCAGAAAGCCAGCATTTTAAAACAGCACACCTTTATTCCTGCTACAGGTGACAGCTGAAAAGCATGCATTCAGCTTTTTGTCAACACCATTTAAGTGTTTTGTGGCAGGACCTCTTAAAAGAGCTGCAGGGTTTTGCAGCTAAAGTTGAGTCAGGAAGCCTCTCTTAGATGATAGCACTTGCTTGCCTCTAGCCAACAGAGAAGACCCGAGAAATTGCTGCTACCAAGAAAACATGCTTTACTCTATTCATTCCCAAGCTTTCTCAAGCTTTCTGTGGATTCAGTTATCCACGTGGATGCCATCTGTAACATGAGGGGCTGGCTTGTTGGGGTTTCTGTTTCAGTGTCCGCCTTAATATTTGTTAAAAACTAGGAAATATAAGTTGCTCAACAAAGAAAATGTAATTAAATCAATTCCATACACGGAATGGATTCAGTGAAGTTAGAAGTCTGAAATTTTTCTGTACAGGGTGTTTTTTGCATTTAATCCTGGGGTCCATTCTACAGTTTTTTACACAAGTTCATAAGTAATGAGGCCATCCAACTACAGATCTAAATCTCTGATTTTAGGAAACAAATACTTCTTATAATAAACTAATTATCTCTATTATTGTCTTAGTGGCAGAAAAATTACTAACACAGCTGTCTATGATGTTTTTTGTGTCCACTAAATATCTACAATTTATTTTTTGGCACAAAAATCAATCATTGCTCTTTAAAAATTTATTTTATTGTATTTAAAAGTGTGTGTATGTGCATGTATATGTGTGTGTGTTCGTGTGTGTGTGTGTGTGTGCAATATGCCACAGTGTGCATATAAAATTAAGGACAATACTGAGGAGTCAACTCTCTCCTTCCACCATAAATGCCAATATTGAACTGAAGCCATAAGGGTTGTTTGGCAGGCACATTTACCCACTAAGCTATCTTGCTGTACCAAATTTATTGTTTTAAAACACAAAAAGGCTTAAGAAACAATATAAACATTATGACATAATTTTTTAAAGTATGAAAGAAACAATTTTATTAGGTGAACACATTTATTTGATACATTAAGTTATGCAAAGAAAAATTTATGCAACTGCATAAAAAGAACCACATTTTCATATTACTAAATACAGCAGTGGCAAAAATAAAAACTCTATAGAATGGACCCCAGGATTTAATGCAAAAAACACCCTGTACAGAAAAATTTCAGACTTCTAACTTCACTGAATCCAGAATTACACGTGCTTCTTTATACTCCTCAGCTTCTTCCAAATCTTTTTCACTATCTAGTATCTGCTGAAGATCAGTATATGCAGCTTCTAACTGATGCTGGCAATCTGGGATCATCATCCGGGACTCTTGAAGAATTTCTGCCTGCTTCTTAATGGCGTAGTTCTCACCATCTTCAGTCTTCATTTTTTCCAATTTTTTTTCTTCTTGCTGCTTTGCTTCTTTCTCATACATCACTTTTTCTTTGACCAATCGCTTCACCACGCCTGTCTTGATCTTGATCTGTCTCAAGCAAGAATCGGCCATGGTCCCTAGTTTACCGCAAGGAGGAGGGGCCTATGACTTATAATTTATTTAATAAATCAATACCCCTTAATTTATACCCACCTAAACAAACAATAGAAGAAAGGAAAAGCAAAGGTCTTATGGTAAAATGATAGTCATTAAGACAGAAAAAAATTAAGGTACTGAAGTTAATGGGTAAATGTTAGTGAGGAAAAGTGTGTTATATACTTGCATACTATTTACTGGCAAAATATGTATTCAATACAAAATAAAAGTAATCGCAATAGTGGAGAAACAGTAGAAATCATCTAGTGACACTGATGATCTGATACACTGAGAAGGATTCAGTGTGAGGTATATGGGATTCTTGTCATACCTACATAGTCTAACTCATCTTAAGGAATTATTAAATACATCTATGGTATGACAGTTTCATTTTTCGATTTTAAAGAGAGTGTGTGACAGAAATAGCTTGAAGGAGTTAAGATTTACTTTGCCCCAGGATTTTGGACCCTGAGTGCTAGAAAGACAGGACAAGGCAGTTCACCAGTGTCAGAAGGTACAACATTTACTGCTAATGACACTGATTTGGATGCAGAACACACAGTTTGGAACCAGGTTAGATGTGACCTCTGAAGATCAGTCTTTTAACCATCTTCCTCTGTACAGTCTTCCTCTTCCCCTAATGATCCCAAAGCCTTCAAAGGAGTGCTACAGTGTTCTGCACAATTATTTCTGCTTTAAAAGAAAACAAGAAGAATTACTTTAACATGTTAAATAATTTGTCCAGTGTTGTATGATTAAATGAAAAAAACTAATATATAGATCCTGGTGATAGAGACAAAGCCTTGGTCATTGCATGATAGTGGATAGTGTGTTCTCAGTGGGCATTTTATGTCTGCTAATGGAAATGTTTTAAGCCAACACAATGTTTTACAAAACATTGAAAATAACTGACAAATAAATTTAAGGAAAACATAATCTTTAAATCTAACCCTATAAAAATAAATACTTTTAAATTTGTTTTATTTTGGGGGGATATGTCTGCATAATCATAAGTTCACATGCATTTGGGTGCCTGCAAAGACCAGAAGAGTAGATCGGATCAGCTTCTGAAGCTGTAGTCCCAGGTGGCTCTAAGTTGATCAGTGTGGGCGCTGGGAACTGAACTCTGTTCCTCTGCAAGAAGAGCAAACTCTCTTTATACCGAGTCATCTCTCCAGCTCCTAAAATGATGCTGTTGAGGGGAATACTTGTTACTTGAGTTGCGATGGATAATATGAAGTCATTTCATTGAACTAGAATTTTTTTTACATGTTTACATGGGATACTTTTATGAATGGATATTAAGCTAAACTAGTGACATAGAAAATATTTGCTAGATTCTGTAGCAAGTTTGAGAGACTTCAGTTATGATCCATGGAAAAGGTAAAGAGCAGGTTTTGTTTGGACAACATCTTAACAAGTTTGTTGTAATAGAAATCTTTTATACATGGCATTGTCAAGTTCTACAGTCCTTACTGAGATGAGTAGGGCAGAGAGGAACCACCCAAGAAAAGAGGAAGGCCACACATACATGATGGAGATGGTTATAGAAGAATGTTACATATGATTTGATGCTCCTCAGCAGCACAGCCAGAAGTCTAAATGAGATAGCTACAAAAGGGAGCAGCAGTTTGGGGGTCCTTATCACTGTAGCATCTGCTTCATCTATGGCTAGCATCTACTGGATATGATTTTTCATGGTAGGCAAATTACAGAGACTGTAAATGTCCAAAATTATGCTTATTGAAGCAATGTTGCAAACAACTGGGTACATAACTTTTTATACCAATACCAGTAGGCTTCTGAGCTCACAAGTTTCAAACTCTTGGAGAGACATGACTTAAGGCTGGGGATGCAGACAAAATGGTAAAAATTGCTTGTCTAACTTGTCAAAAGCCCGAGATCTTGTGCCCAATACCACATGAAACCTGGCATGGTGACTGCCTATTGGAGAGACTTTCAACTTTCTTAATGTTGCAACCCTTTAATACAGTTCCTCATGTTGTGGTGATCCCCCAACCATTAAATTATTATTGTTATTACTTCATAACTGTAATCTTGCTACTGTTATGAATTACAATGTAAATATCTGATGTGTAGAATTCTGATATGTTACTCCTTCGAAAGGTTGAGATCTGTTGTTGTGTGATAAGGACAGCTAGGGCTATATGATACCCTGTCTCAGGAAAACAAAACAAATGACCAAAGAAAGGAAAGACTGAGAAACAGAGGGAAAGAAAATATAGGAGAAGAGGAAAGAAACTAACTTGGGGTAGGATCATCTTTGGTTCATTTATATAACAAGCCACATGATAATAATACAGTTCATTGGCTAGGGGAAAGCAGGATACCTTAGCAGGAAGTCATTGTTGGACAAGTCTGACCACATGACGTCAGTCTCTGGAATCCACACAAAGGTAAAAGAGGAGAACCCACTCCTCAAAATTATCCTCTGACTTAACATATGCCTCTTCAGATCCTACACATTGTTGATAAATGAAAACTTAGAAAAAAAAGAAACACTGGTCAAAGAACAACAATTTACCTTTTAGAACCTCTATACCCAGATAAAATCACAACTGTATGTTCTTTGGCAGGTAAATACAAAATGTCAAAGAAGTATTTGTTTAAGCTGATGAGAATATCAAAACTCTTTGAGACGACTGGCCAACTGCCAAGGTTGGAGTGTTTGCTACCCTGGGACTTCCAGGAAGAAGTGAGGTTATCTCTTGGTAAAAATAACCCAGTCTTTTTATTGGTGTATTTGCATTATTAATCTAGTACAGGCTAAAAAAAATGGCTGGTCTGGTGAGAAACATCAGTCCTAAATGAAAATACAGTTTCACTTTATGTGTCAATTAGGAAACTCAAGTTAGAGTTGTGAATTTGTATTCCAAAGGTGTTTGAAGGAGAACATCAACCTGGAAGACTTGTAACGAGGTTACTGGAACTTTGGACTTGCAATAAATATCTATGTCAAGCTATCTTTTGGCATCTTTAGATGTCACATAGGAATAACTTTCTCTTTCTAAACTCTGAAATGCTAATATAATTTGGAGAAAAAATTCAGCTGTGCTACATATCCATTGGTAGCACAAAGAATGTTTACTATGTTACCCGGTCATTCAGAAGCCTGGATTAGCAGAAGGGCTATCATCCTGCAATTGTGCCACATGAACTATTACAGCTACGGGAGCAAGGAAAGTAAATCTGAAAGATGATATATCTCTTCATTAATCAGAATCTGTAACTTTAAAAGGACCACAAAATGTGAGTAGGGAAGAGTAGAATATATAAAAGTGAATGAGTATTACGTCTGCGACAATTCTGTATCTCCATTTTTGGGGGGTAGTTAAAATTTTGTTATTTACTATGGTGTGTGTGTGTGTGTGTGTGTGTACATGACCAAAGAATAATGACTTAAAATCACACATGAATGCTCATATGGTACTGGAGTTCTAAAATCCAAGATGGGAATCCCAAGATTGTTGTTAGTCTGCTGGTACCCTTGACTATGTGCTCTCTATGTCTTCAGTACCAGCAGAATGTCTAATACCGTCCTTCTCTTTCCTCATCATTCAATCTTTGGTACTTCTGTGACGTGCCAACATGGGGCTGAACTACTTAAAAGCCTAATTTTTCTTAATTCAGAATGAATCCATAGCCTCTCATTTTCCGTGGAAACAAAAGAAAAACATCTTCTCCAAAGTAACATATCTTTTGACTTAAATTTTAAAGTCAAGGTATTTTCAAAATGAAGTGGTGTGGGACAATGGCCTGTATTTTGTCATTATATTTTAATATAACGCTGATTGACCAGTAGCCAGGCAGGAAGTATAGGCTGGACAACCAGGCAGGAAGTAGAAGCAGAGCGACAAGAACAGGAGAATTCTGGGAAGCAGACATAGTCCTGAGTCCTGACGCAATCACAGAAGAAGCAAGAAGTGACTGCCTCACCAAATAAGGTACCCAGCCACATGGCTAGCATAGACAAAAATAATGGGCTAATATAAGTTACAAGAGATAATAAGAAGCCTGAGATAATGGGCCAATCAGTTTATAACTAATGTAGACCTCTGTGTGATTTCTTTGGGACTTAATGACTGTGGGGACCAGGTCGGACAGAAAACCTCAGTCAACACTTCTGCATCCCTAGACTACATATGACTCCCAAGACTGCATCCAACATGGATAACCCAGAATACTCTCTCTATGTTAAGGATCAAGGAGTTAGACCCTCAGTTTCACCTACCATCATAATTCTCCTTTGCCATGTCACATATCATACTCATAGGTCCCAGAAATCCAGACAGGAATCTTTCTCATTTTCCTGCTTGCCACAGTAAAATATGAAAACATTTGTAAGTATCTACATACTTACTAATAATGCTAATTATGTTGTACAATGACTTTGAAATGAAACTCACATTTTAAACATAAGATCCACAAATTTGTTGCTAATCCATAAATAATAAATACAACATCATGAATTTCTCCTGACTTTTCTAGAGACAAGGAAGGAGAAAAATGATTTCAGAAACAGATTTCTGCAGGCAGAACAGTATATACTAGATTTTATAAAGTTTTTCTAGAATTGTTTTCTTTGGGTAAAATTTTCATTGCTTCTACTATTGTTTTTAATAGTAAAACTATTAGGAAAAATAATTATAGAAAATCAAATGTTTGGCATTGTTGAGCCAAACAAAACTATAGCATTGATGAAGCCTGAATGAAAAACTAAACACTGAAAAATATTCAGTATAATAAATTTGTTCTTCAAATTTACATATAACCAAGTAGAAAGCATGGCATATATGAACTTGAACAAAAAGATATACGAAAGGATAAAATGTTGTACTTCCCTTCAGGATCGTAATAATTTTTGGACATAAAACAAAACTAGCTATGTAGTGCAGAACAAAAAAAAGTATGTCTTAAGTGTTGTGAGTTGAATCAAGATAAAAACAAAGAAGAAAGAA